ATTAATTTGCCATTATATATATATATATATATATATATATATATATATATATATATATATTATTTTATTTTTTAAATTTAATTGAAGTCAAAATATTTAGAAGTAAGGTAGAAGTGAAATGGGTTAGGAGAGTTGCGCAGGTTAGTTAAGGCTTGGAACACAGTTTGCGACCGTATATTTTGTTTATAATTCTAAATACATATTCACATCATTTTAGTTTTAGAAAAAGAAGTAATAATGAAATAGATTTGATGAACTTGGGTGGTTTACCCTGTCTCCGCACATTACTTGTTGAATGTTGTTCTGCGTAGTGTATCACAATTTTCTTAAGTAGCTAATGTGAAATATTCTTTCTTTATGTTCTCATTAATTTAAATGAAACATATTTGTAGTGGTTCGGTACTTGAGCAGGAAAGTTCATTTCAGAACTTGTGATTAAATTTTGGCCTCTCTCTTTCTTTACTTGTGAATTCAAGTGGCCTTTGCCTGTAAATCTAGTACTTTGTCAATTTTAACTTCAGAAATCTGAAGTTCTTGTCATGTGAATTTGAATCCGTGTATAGCTTCTATGAGATTTCTATACATTACACTAGCATCATTCTTTTGTATCTCGATTGCAAATTATCTGAAACTTATGGAAGTTAGATCAATACACCCCCACTGTCCTTGTCCAATCAAGAAAAATCTGGTTTTATTATGGTGAAAGAAATAAAAATAATTTCCATGATAAGGATTTGAATTTATTTTTATGAAACCATCTTGTTTTGTAGCACATTAGTTTATCATGTAGTCTCTGTCTTATTTCATGCAAAATTGTACAACCTAAAATCTATCATGTAGTCGTAGATTTTAAATTCTCAAAACTCGAATGCAAATCCTAGAACCAAGCTCACCCTATGTTATGTTAATATGTCTCTCTTAATGTTAAATGTTCCTTACTCTTGCTATAACCTGCGGATGACTATTTTTACATTATTTTTGTCATGGTCTTAGAGCTATAAAGCATTATTTGGTCTCTCCTTGGTGAATGTCCAACCTATATTTTTACCTTTCTTGGAACTCTACTTCCCCAGTTGTTTCTCTTGAGCATCAATATCCTTTTCAACAATATCATAATTTACTCGTTCTTTTAACTGAATATTCTGGACTTCTCTTTGCAAAAAAATTGTTCAACGATCTTTTATGGCTACCGTGAATTTATTGGATTCAAATGTTACTGTGTATCTGTTTTGTTGTACTTTCACTTTATTGTAATATCAATCAACATTCAGGAGCTCTTTTGACATACCTGCCGTTAGTTTTACAACCTGTTATTTGGTTGTGGTTTTACGAGGCATTGGGGTTCCAGTGCTACTAGCTTACATTATTACTCTGGTGCATCCAGTGAGTGGGATAGGTGCCAACTGGGGCTCACAAACATCACATCGCCTGCCCCCTGAGACAATGGTGCGGATGCTAAGAGAGAATGGGATTCAAAAAATTAAGCTTTTTGATGCTGATTATGATACACTAAGAGCATTTGGAAGGTCTGGGATTGAGGTTATGGTTGGCATTCCCAATGACATGCTTGCAACTTTTGCTTCCAGCTCGAAGGCTGCTGAGAAATGGGTAAACAAAAATGTCTCCCATCATATCTCTACCAATAATGTCAATATCAGGTAATTTCACTCTCTGCTTCATTGCGCTAAATCGTAAATTTTCTGATTCACAAGATAGATTTTCCCCCAAGTCAATAAAGTTTTAGAACAAAGTCGGAAAGTTGATTGAAATGAAACGATTAGCATTGTAAGAAAATCTTCTTTTTGGGTAGTGGTACAGTTTGATTCTTTCTAAATGCAAATAATGTTCCATGAACACAGGTACGTTGCGGTTGGTAATGAACCTTTCTTGAAAACCTATAATGGAACCTTCCTTAGAACAACATACCCGGCTCTCAGAAATATTCAACAAGCACTGGTAAAAGCCAGAATCAGCAATCAAGTAAAGGTCACTGTTCCCCTAAATGCTGATGTCTACTCGAGTTCAACTAGCTTGCCGTCGGGAGGTGATTTCCGAGCTGATATCCACGATTTTGTGATTCAAATCGTGAAGTTACTGAGTGATAATAATGCACCTTTCACAATCAATATATACCCATTTATAAGTCTTTATACAGATCCCAGTTTCCCTGTTGAATATGCCTTTTTTGATGGGAATGCAACGCCTCTGAATGATGGTGGTACGAACTATTACAATATGTTTGATGCGAATCATGACACTCTTGTCTGGGCATTGCAAAAGAATGGTTTTGGAAATTTACCTATAATAATTGGAGAAATTGGGTGGCCAACTGATGGGGATCGAAATGCTAACCTAGAGTATGCTCAAAGATTCAACCAAGGCTTCATGGCTCATATATCGGGTGGAAAAGGAACCCCAATGAGGCCGGGGCCCATCGATGCTTATCTGTTCAGTTTGATGGATGAGGATGACAAGAGTATTGATCCTGGAAACTTCGAGCGCCATTGGGGAATTTTCAGGTATGATGGACAACCTAAATATCCTCTCAACCTTGGAACCACTAACTCAGGATCTCTAGTCCCGGCACGAGGTGTAATTTATTTACAGCAAAAATGGTGTATAATGAAGCAAAATGCAAGACTTGATGGTTCTGACGTCGCTCCAAGTGTAAGCTATGCTTGTGCACGCGCTGATTGCACTTGCCTTGGTTATCAGACATCATGTGGCAATTTGGATGCTCGTGGGAATATTTCGTATGCTTTCAACAGCTATTACCAGAAGAACAATCAACTTGATGATGCCTGCAAATTTTCGGGTCTTGGAACAATTACAAGAGCCGATCCATCAACTGGAACTTGCAAGTTCAATATCATGATCAAGGCGTACTATGCGAGCGCTGGACAATTATCAGGCTGTATTCTGAGGACATCGACTTTGGTTGTGAGTGTGGCTCTCTTTCTGTTAACTAATCTATGATTGCTGACTTCGGCTCGACTGATCTTATTAGCATTCTGAGTGGAAAATTGTTGTAATTCATTTTCAAAATTTGGAGGTTTAATATTAACATTTATTAGAAAGTTGGAGGACTATAAATAAGACTGCTGCTAATTGTCTGATCCATGATCAATGGATACTTGAATTAATGTGATTTTGTTTGTTGCAAGAAATGTTTGCATCATGTTATTTTCTTGCACATTTGAAGTATTTTTGTCACTGCAAGGGGGAGTTGTAGCTCAGATTGTGTAATTTCTTGTATATTGTGACCATTGTTTCTTAATTTTTTCATCGAGAATCTCGGCTCTTGAGTAACCGGTTGAGCTGTTAAATTAGCTGAAGTAGTGATGAGTAATGTGTAGTGTGGAAAGGCCATCCATTCCTAGTTTCAAAGGAATTTTTTTTGTTTCAAGTTTGTCCAAATTACAGGGCAGGAGAATACATTGTCTAAAAGGTTAAATTGTGACATTGGTCACCAACACATTTTCTCATTGGATATTTATATTCACACCACAAATTTTAATTATTGCGTCACATTTTAATTGCATTTAAGTTTTTCAATTTTTGCTCATAACAACAATTATGTTTCTACTAATTTATTTTAATTATTTCGACAATGGAAAATAAATTATTTTCCCATAATCTTAACATTATTAGTTTTAAATCACACAATTACCTTTGGTAAAACCCTAGCTAGCTTCATTGACATTGTCTATTTATACATTGATGGATCAAGGACACGTAGAATCTACTTGGCCTATAAATAATGAGAATTGCAATTGGGAAGACTATATAACTACAATATTATTAAAACATATTTCATAAATAACAAATTCATTGAAATATTTCAAAAATCAGATGATAAATATATTTATTAAATATTAAACTATAATATAATATATATTAATTATTTTCACTCCATGCCACCTCATTCACCCCATCCTATCACCCCATTACACCACCTTCCCTTAATCTCTCCAACGAAGATAGCCATCGGCTCCGACATTCACTCTAGAGACCGCTTAGACAGCAGCTCCGACGACTGGTCCTACAACCGATCCGAAAAACTGCTGCAGCAAACGCTCGGTGACTGCTCCGGCAAACTGCTCCGACGATTATTTCACCAATTGTTCCGGCTCCAATGATAGAAAAATCTCCAAAAATTGTGATGGTCGTAGTGGTGCATTGTAGTTATCAGATTTGCAACCGTGCTATCTGTGACCATACCTGTGTTATAAGTGACCAATTCACTGACTTATGTTATCTGAGAATCACCGCGACCAACTTTTCCTTCAGTGTGATTAATTGTGACCAAATTTGTATTCAATGTGATTATTTGTGACCAGATCAATCTCAAGTTACAACTGGTCACAATCATTACAAAATTGATCACAAACAGTTACAACCAGATCTTGAACAGAAAAACCAGATCTCCAACCACCATAGCAAATCTGTTCGAAAAAATAATAACCACAAGTACTATTAACATCTCTAACTCAAATTGATGACCATAAATACTACATTCACCTCAAATCCACAACAATCATCACTACCATAACTTCCACCAACCCTTTAAAAAACACCAACCAGCACCACCAAACTTCTCTCATGAAACTCCGGTGAGAGAAGTGGTAAGTGGTCGGAATCTAGAGGGTGGGTGGAGAAGAAGTCGTGGATCTGATTTTTAGGTAAGAGAGTGCCGAACTAATTTTTGGGGAAAGAAATAGAGTGTGTGGGTTAAAAATTGATACAAGATCTAAGGTAAATTGATACGAGGTTTATGACCAAATTTGTATTCAATGTAATTGTCTGTGACCAGATCAATCTCAAGTCACAACCGGTCACAATCAACACAAATTAGGTCACAAACAATCATAATCAGATCTCGAACAGAAAAAATCAGATCTACAACCACCACAGCAGATCTGTTCGAAAAAATAATAACCATCACCACTACTAACATCTTTAACTCAAATCCACAACAATAATCATCACTACCATAACTTCCACCAACACCTTCAAAAAATACTAACCTATTGATTACTGAATATTTCTCGATAAAGATTTCCAAGATTCTTCACTGTGTCGAAAAGGAAGATGGTTGGGTGGGTGGTGGTAGAGAGAGATAGAGAGAGAGGATAGGGTGAAGAAAGAGGTGGGAAAATGAAAATACCTGAGGCTTGGATTTGGGAATGAAATGGGGATGGAATGAGCTTCATTGTGCTGAAAAGGGAGATGGTTGGGTGGGTGGTTGTAGAGAGAGAGAGAGGTAGAGAGAGAGAGAGAGAGAGGTGGGAAAATGAAAATACCAGAGGCTTAGATTTGGGAAGGAAATAGGTGGAATGGGCGGCGGTATCTCGGTTTAATTAAATTTTCATTAATTATAATTATTAAATCTAATTAACACTTGATTTGTGAAATGAAAATTAATTATCCTTATTTTTGAAAATTAGTCTTTAAATATAGGTTTCTACGTAATTTTCCAATTGCAATTTCGTTCAAATCCATTAGTGAAAAAATATTAAATATAATTATACAAACATGTATGTACATTATCTGTAAGCTTTTATATGTACATTACTTGTAACGCTATTTTTTACATTATTTCATGCAGCATCATCTATACTTTTGATTTTTAACTCATTCATCCCATCACTGCATAGATTTTCTCCATATAGAATTGAATGTCAACCAAATTGTAAGGAATGATGTACATATAATATTATTATTAATAATTATAATAAGCAAATAAGGTTAATTTTATTAAGAGGAGTAGCTTACACGACAGTTTCTCTATTAATCTGGAATTAAAATTATTTGCTTATCCGTGGAGCTTTCAAGTTGAAACTCGCAATGTTAAGTTCAAGTCTTTATATTTTAATTATTTATTTTTCTCTTTAACTGAGATGTGATTTAATAATTCAATAATATTAAATCCGAATTAAATCCTACCCCATGTTGAAAATTTGCACATGGAAAAACAGGGTCTATGTGACCCTGTTTATGTAGCAACCTCTCATGAATGAAACAAGATATTGACTCACAAAAAAATTGATTAACCTGGTAAAGATCGATTGACTCGACAACTCAAAACAAACAGTTAAACTTGTTAATTAATGTATCTCTTATTCATAAATTATATATAGATTTGAAAATATATTTTTATTAAACAAATCTTCATTTCCAACTAAATGGTCTTCTAGGTTTTCTATTTTTTTTTATTTTTCGTTGTGATGTGTATTTGTTAAAATATTTTCTTTTTCTTTACCTTTTGTGTGCCTATTTTCATCACACGAGAAAGTTACAACTCTAGTGAAATTGTAAGGGGCGTACGTAGTAGAGTAATAAATGGTGTCTATTCAAACATTTTTGGCTCTTTTCTATTATTATTATTATGCATAATCATTGTTATTGTTTTGTGTATCTTTAAAAATTATTATATTGGAATTGATCTATCGATTCAACTGTTGATCCGACAGTTGAACCAATGACCAGATAGCTCACTTATTTGTCGAAATCAATGTTCTAATCGATTTTTATAACTAGATATACTCTAAACGACTAAACTAATGTGAGTTTGGGCAGTCTTTTCAATACTCATGACCAATTGATAATGATGTAGATATTTTACCAAATTCTATTAAATTTAAGAATTAAGCTAAAAACCTATGTGGGATTTGAATGTTATTGCACGTTTTGGAAAAGGGTAATTAGCACAAGGCTTCTTTACCTTTTAATGTTAATGTACAAAATATCTTTACTTTCATTTTTTGACATTTTTACCCATATTTTTATCTTTCATTGTGGAAAATGTCATTTTGATCCAAATTTTCAATAAAAAAATATAAAATGACAAATATGCTCTCCTACTTAAATAAAAAAAAATGAAAAAGTAAAATTAAGGAACAAACTGCAACTATACTCTCAAACTGTTTAAATAAATTTTAAAAGGATAATTAGTACAAAACGTTTATACATTTTAATATTATTGTACAAAACGTCCCCACCTTTCATTTTTTGGTATTTTCACACTTAATAAATTTTAAATAAATAATTAAAAACAAAAATTAAAAAAATACTTCCTTTTTAATTATTTATTTGTACTTTTTTTTTTTAAAAATTTAAGAATATGATGTTTTGTGTTAACTACCATTTTAATAATTGATCTAGACTCATTTGCAATTTTTAAAAAAGTTTGGAAGTATAATTACAATTTGTTCTTTAATTTTTATTTTATTGTTTTTTTTAAATAGAAGGGCATATTTGCCATTTTATATTTTTCACTGAGAAAATGAATGAAAAGTACAATTTTTTGCATTGAAAGGTAAAAATAGATGTAAAAAGGCGGAAAAAATAAAATGTAAAGACGTTTTGTACAATAACATTAAAATGTACGAATGTTTTGTGCTAATTACCTTTAGAAAATGATTATATACAAGAGTCCAAACTATAATCCACGTTCATTTCTTAACTTTTAGTCTTTCTTTTAACATCATACTTCCAATAGAAAATGCTGCACGATTTATGAGGCGGTTGACTTGTGTCCTAATTGGAATCCGTTCAGACACCTTTTTCAACCATAATGTGTATTATCAATCATAGTTATATTGATTTTTAATGTTGCATCAACACATTCTTCACAATTCAATGGATTAACAAGAAGACTGAAAACATTATTGGAGCTTCCACTTCTTGAGAAGGATTAAGCCTTAACTTTTCAGATTAGGACACACATGACATGTTCAATTTTCTTGTGGAAGGAGATGTGGATGGCTAACCACACTCTGATACTTATATTATATACGAATTTGGTTTTAAAAGTTCAAATAAACAAAGTTTTAGTTTAGTTAAAGTGTTTGTACTGTTCAAATGAACAAAGTTTTAGTTTAGTTAAAGCGTTTGAACGGAAGTATACATGGTGGTTAATGGGTTTATTTAAGAGAACAAAGGTAGCTTCGAATGGTAGACGACCTTAGGCTAGGAACAACATATCTACTCTTTATTGACATAGACATGCAATTAAAATGCATGACATTCGGGTGTCTTTAATGTCTTAGCATCGGCATTATACCAAATACTGTTACTCCTTCACATCACATCAAATGTCTACGATTAGGAATTGCAAGTCAATGTCAGATAATGGGTTGAGCACAAAGCATGTAACGATTGATGAGATAGAGGGGTCTATTCGACTTTTATGACCGCATGAGATGCTACTTGTGAAAAAAAACATAATCTACACTTGGAAGGTTGGGATTAGTGGGTACTTGACTTGTATGGTAACACACGAA